TAAAAGCTGTACCTCTCAGGAAGGCCATGGACTGGCCCTCTTGTCCACAGAAGCTTAGTTTGGAGGAAGGGTTACAAACCTGGCACAATGTGGACCCAATAGGGACCCAACACAACAAGATGGACCCAACACACCGAGATAAACCCAAAAACCTGCCCCAGCCAGCCCACTGCACCCATGGAGAGGGACCACAGGACTGGTGGGGCTTTTCTCCTGCGTTCAACAATTGCTTGTAGCCCTCTCCCTCAGACTTCCTTGCAATCAAACATATCTCACTTGGTGGTCTGGAGATCCATACAAACACTAATTACTGTCCCACAGCACGGGGAGGGTGGGGAGCAGGGAGAAAAGCACTTGATGAAGTGACAACCTGCCATCATAGGGTGAGTCAACAGAAAAACACAGGAAAACAATTATTCCTCTGCACTAGCCTGTGAACACAGAAATTACAGCTCATGACTGTCTAAATGTGCAGTGGATGCAGTGAGTAAATTTGCCATGTGGCAGGATGGGAGGAAGAGAAAAGGAGAGAAGGGAAAGAAAGGAAAAGAGACCCTCAGTCTGTGCTTTTATTGCCTGCTCTTGAGAAACCTGGTGCCCTGCTACCCCTGCTGCTTCCACACACCCACAAGACCTCAGAGTAAGCTTAGGGACCTTTTAACTAAATCAAGTTCAAAGTATGTATTTTGCTTTTCAGTTTAGGCAAGTGTTGAAAAATACATCAGAGGAAGCAGTGTTTGCATTAATACAGAGCCTGCATTTCCGTGGGAGAAAGCGCTTCAAGATGACATTTCACACCAGGGTAGTCCTCCACAGAGTCAATAATATAAATAAATTAAACACACGGTTCAGCCAACTTCAGGATAAAGATAAATTACCTTATTCCACCAGCTGTACTGGCAGGAGCAATAGGCACATGAAATGACACATGTCTCAGAGCCTGCATCCATTCTGCTGTTGAATTTGCTTGTCAGGATCCCCACAGAACCACAGATGCTTCCGAGTACAACTGCAAGAGACTGGGCCCTGATAGCTGGAAGTCAGAGAGAATAAATATGACATTACATTAAAAAATGTAAAAGGCTAAGTATGAGTTTTATCTTGGTAGCGTGAAGTCAATTTTTAATATACTCGTTTCTCAGAACGCAGGCACTTCCAGTTCCACCCAAAGAACCCTTCAAAATCTCTCTTTTATCGATGATGGGTCCCACTGAATTATTCACCAGATCGCAGCTGCCAGAGATCTTAAATATACACATGACAAGGACTGTAAGGGACAGCAACCTTCTCCTGCAGGCCTATCAGCGTCGCTGACAGTTGCACCACAGATGCCCCAAGCTGCTCTAGTCTGCTTTCAACATGGCACATAACTGCACGCTGGGGAGCAGCCTTCCTGCATCACCCTTGGACCAGCACATTTCTCAAAAAATGAAAAATAAAGACCATTTAAATGATGTTAAACTCCTGGGTATGAAGGTGTCCTCCAGAATTACTATGGATGCTTAAAAGCAGCCCTATTGTACAGCAAAACAATCCTAAAATTGTAACCATCCTGGAGTGCTGCAGGAAATGATTCCTGGTTTGGACACTGCACTGGTGAGCAGGGGTCTGAGTTCCTAATCTCAGCCATGCCCCGCCAGGCAGTCAGTGCTGAGGTGTTGTGCTGCTGGTCTGCACAAATAATAATTAGAGTATTAATTTTAATTATGAGCAATTTTAAACACATAGAATAACCAAGGCTAAACTGGCTGGCTGCTTATCTCTGAAAGACCATTTCCTAGGGTCGCAGGCTGACAAGAAGCAAGAAGCTGACACAGTCAGAGGTGTTTGGCACTTCCTTCCCATCTCCCTGACTGCTCCAGCTCTGTTTAACCCCTTCACTTCATTGCAAGAAGGACAGGATTTTTTCTCCAAGTTGTTCCTGTGATTGCAATCTGCTACTATTTGGACCTCAGTGATTCAGTTTGTATTTGTTCCTCTAATTAGCATTCCTCAATAAAAAGGTCAATGATTCAGTCCTTAATCTGAGAAAAAAACAAATGATCTTGCCTACAGAGCACACCTGCTCAAGAATATATAAGACAAAGGAAATGTTTAAAGAATACTGCTACTTCATGTTAAATTAAGCTGCTTTTTTACCTGTTTTAAGGCAAACTGCCCATTTGATCCACTGCTCTTTTTGCTTGTGTGAACAGGCTCAGGTCTAATTCTGTGGGTTTACAGATTATATTTCTGTGTGATGAATTCATGCTGTGCTTATTTTCTAAGATGTATGCCTCCAAGACATGGTGAAACCTTCAGAGGATTGTGGAAAGTTTGTTCTTAGTATTTTTACTGTGAATTGCAGGTAGAACATCCACTGAGACTGTGCTGGGCACAACAGAGCTTGAGACTGTCCATATAAACAGAAAAGGGGGCAAAGAGAAAAGTGACAGAAGCAGTAAGAGGGTAAGGGATTTGCCTGGGGACAATGGCCCTTCAGAATAAAATCATCTGCTGTCAACGAGCGCTTCACCACCCGGCATCCTCCTGGCATCAGGGGAATGTTGCTCCAACTCATCCTGGTACTCCAGGGAGGACCGCTCAAAAGATGATTTTCTTTGTATGTAGATCAGGCCAGCCGCTACCACTGGACTCTAATTTTGGCTGGCAAGTCAGGTTTTATCACAATAAAATTAATGACAACCACCACAAGCTACAAGTAATCCCCTTCCCTCAAAGCTTTACTCGAAAAAGAATATTATACTCACTCTTCAGTCTGGATGAATTATTTACATCCCATCACTGCTGTTGCTGTTTTCCTTGCCTTTTTGCCCTGTGTCACCATCCCTTTCAACCACACGCAGGCTTTGGAGACCTGCTGGCTGCTGCACAGCATTAGCAATAACCATCACTGCGAAACCCCTGCTGCTGCCACTTTGAAATCAGATCATTAGCGGCAGTCAGAGAAGTGCTGCCTGCAGCCGAGGGATCCACTGTGGGAGCAGCCTCCTGGGAGCCCAATTTCATCACAACCTGTCTGAATGCAACCGCTAGTGTCTGCCAAATTTCACATCCAAATCGATCAGAAGGAGAGAAGGGAAGAGGCAGGCAGGGAGGGGGAGAGAGCAACCAAAGCAAGATTAAACATCGTGTTATTTCCAGGGAGAAGATGACAAAGAAGAGGTGCATTGCTTCAGCAACTGTTGCTAGAGTTCCCACGAAGGCTTTTTGTCCAGGCTCACCTCTGAAGGAGACACGCTTATCTCCCTTGCTGGTGGGGCTGTTAAAACACCCACAGCACAGCACAGCTGCAAGGGCAGGAGATCTTAGGACTGCACTGTCCCCAAAACACTCAGGAGAACTATTGCCACCTCAGAAGCTGTTTCACATGCACCTTTGGGGCTCTTTCGTGGGGAAAGGTAGAGGGAAGGGAAGATGGAGGAGAGTTTCCCTCAGCACCTTCATTTACAGGGCTGAGGTACTACGAAGGGGTGGGAAGGATCCCAGTAACTGGTCTCTCTGCGACAGCTACAGGGCTGTACTGCCTCAGACAAGCCAATACTTTCTGGTGTGGCCATATTACCTTGGGCAAGCCCCAGTACCTACCCACGCAGAGGGGCACAGGAGAGGAAGGCTGTGCTGGACAGGGCTGTGCACACAGAGCAATGGCGCTGGGCCCCTGGCCAAGCGGGCAGGCCCAGGCTTGCCGCTGTGCCATGGCTGCCCTGGAGACCTCGTTGGAGCGTGGTGCTGAGAGGAGTGGTGGGGAAGGGGGAAGAGGGAAGGCAGCAGTGAGATGGAGGGGAAGGTGCTGAGGGGAGGAGAGGTGAAGGGGGAAGGTGAGGTGGAAGAGAAGGTGCTGAGGGGAGACGGAGGGGGAAAGCACTGAGGGGAAGAGCTGAGGGGAGATGGGGCGGGAAGGCACTGAGGGGAGGAGCTGAGGGGAAGAGCTGAGGGGAGATGGAAGGGCAAAACCTGAGGGGAGACGGAGACGGAAAGGAAGATGGAGGAGGGTTCATGGACAAGGATGGAGGCTGGGCCAGGGCTAACCTTCCTTCCCTTGCTCCCTGTCAGGCTTGAGGGCAGCTGTTGGGAGCCATGCCAGGCCTGCCGCAGGGCAGGAGAGTGCCACGGGCAGGCAGCGGGCGGCGAGGGGCTGCCTGTGCCTCCCTCCGCTGCAGCCCCCTGGCACGAAGCCACCACAGAGAAAGAAGCAGTGGCTGCCATGCAGGAGTGCCACCACCACCAATGTGCGGGCAGGTGAGCTGGGCTGGCTTTGCAGCAGGCATGGGAAAAGGGCACCATCCTCCCATGCACTCCAAAACACCCCATTCAGCATCTGGGGAGGGGCGGGAAGGGGTCACTGGGCAAAGCCATACGTGCACCAGTGGTATGTGGCCACTGCTCAACATCACGTTTGTGCAACTGATGCTGCACAGACACAAAGGGCAGCTGGAGCGTGGGTACCAGCAGGAAAGCAGCTAAGATCCACCTGTGTGTGTTGGCCAGAGGATATGGTGCTTGGCTCTTCCTCCATCCTGCAGGACAGCTGCCATGGAGAGAAAACACAACTTTCCTAGAAGACCGTCTATGGCACTTTAAAACCAGTCACTGAACTGCATCCTGTTTATACATATAGTTTCATATATAGTGACCAATCTATCCAAAAAAGGTTGGGTCTATGTAACTACACAGCATAAGCAGTAGGAGGCATAAGACATCTGTCAAGTAGGAAATTTCATAAACTGCCTAAGGTTTGGGGTGCTGTAAATATTTAGTGGTTTTCTTTTGGTGAGCTACATTATAGTTGTTTAAATATTCACTGTTCCACGGGTGTGAGTCACAGCACTGATCTAACTTCCCATCAGTGTGGTTGAGTTGCTGTTATAGCTACAGAAATGGAAGGTTAATTTAAAAGTCTGCCATGTAAAGGAATAGTATCTTAGTACAAAATGTGCCTGAAAGTTTCCAGAAATTGTACTATAAAAAAATAAATAAAATCACATTGGTTGCTGTATTAACTGATAACAGCTTTAAAAAATCCCCAACAACCAAGAATCAATTTCCTGCGTAAATCGAGTTAGGCAAGCACAGTGAAGTTGACTCCAGTGTAGAAGTGCTATTAATGCATTAACAGCCTCGATAAATACATTTTACAGGTGTAAGGATCATTGTGTTAGCCAATCAGATAAATATATATTTCCCACTTAAAAATAATGGCCCATTAGGGCATTAATATTTTCTTATCGATTTGTTTTCTTATTAATGGCCAATAAAGGCACAGCAACCACTCCTCTCATCATCCTCTTTATGAAATAGCCAGGAAAGCCTCAGAGGCAATGCATACATTTTTGCTAACAGCATTTATCTTTTTAACAGCTGCACACCACCACAAAACCAGAAAGCAGCAGGCCTGCTCCTCTCCATTGCTTGAAATCCCGGGGCCTGGGAGGAACCCTGACCCAGGCCAAAATAATGCAGAACAGAATTGGAAGGATGCAGAAATAAACAAGGCTGTAATACCAACTGCCACCGTTTTGGACTCTGCTCAAACAGATCAAGGTCTTTCTGCTCAGCTTAACGAAAGCCTTCGATGGGATGGGATTCTTGAAGATCCTGTAGCAGAGGAAGAAAGGCTGCGCATCTACAAGATGAACAGGAGGAAACGGTACGAATTGTATCTCCAGCAACACCTGCCCAGTGAGCCATGCTAAACTGCCAGGCATTCCCCACAACTGCATTGCAGAGCGTCATGCACCAGCAGTGATCACACCGTATGTAAAGAAGATTGCTGCAGTTGTTTTCCAGAGGAGCAAGCATGAACTGGTTCCTGAATGCTGAATGAGCTGCAACCAGCAGTGTCACCCAAAAATCTCTCAACACATTCTGCAGCTTAGCACTATTACCCACTGTCTTCTATCTGTGTGGAGAAAGGTCATTTGTATTTTAAAAGCAAACTGACCTGTTAGTTAAATTTGGATGCAACTCTGACTACATTAGCAATTAAAAGTGTTCCTTTCCATACTGCCAATTTGCCCTGGAGTGTCCCTAGTTGTTGCTATTTGTTTATTTCAAAATAATACTCACTGCATTACACCTGAGCTTTTTAGGTGATGATGTTGTCAATTGCTGGTCCCAAAACCAGCAAGCAGAGTCTTGTGGCAGATGGGCAGTGAATGACCAGATAGCTTGTTCAGAGGCTAAGATAGAATCATAGAATCAACTAGGTTGGAAAAGACCTTTAAGATCATTAAGTCCAACCATTATTTTGACTGTAAATGATTGCAAGCACATAAGACTTACCTAGTACTTAAAACTGAGCCAGCTACAAAATTGGGATTGGAATCCAACCCTCATCTCCAGGCTTATGATCTACCTACAGTATTTTATTTCGTTATAAAAATTCTTTATATCAGCCCCTCTGATTTGACATCCTGGAGAAGCACAACATTTATACAAGGAAAATGAAGCACATCTCTAACAATGGAGCTGTCCTTTTCATCATATGTACTAAGAAGCCTATTTGGCCAATCTGAAGTAAAAATCTTGTCAAGCAGTAGGCTGCCTTGTACCCCTTCAACTTCTCATAGTAAATGAACATTGTTCATACAGAATGTTACTACAGTATTGAAGGAAAACAGCCCAGACCATGCTAAAGGAGGTATTTGGAAACAAGGTGGCATATCACGAAGAAACACGTTTTCCTGAAGCCCTCCTGAAAGATACTGTTCTGATTTTTAAAGGTTTTTCTTTATGGCTCTTCAAATGGACTGTCTTTTATACAGCAATTCATGTTTAGATACATCTTTTTCTCCTGTTTAATACTTTGAACACTGCATGACACTCAAACGCTTGCATGGACTTTTGCAGGAGCAGTGGCAAGGTTTAAAATAGCTTCAGAGCTCCCTAGATTCCAATAATGTCATTACATGCAAATCTAGAGCTTTTGCAAGCAGATAACCAGATGAACAATAAAAAGTAAGCAAAAAAATCCAATTAAGAATTAATTAACTGATGTTCAATTCTACTCTGCCAGAGATACAAACAAAATCAGCATGCCTGTAAATTAGGAAAAGATTAAAGAACAGATTAGGCATCCAGAACACTACAGCACTCCCCTCAAAACAGTAGTTTGTAACGATTTTGTTTTTATAGAGTTTAATGCATAACACATTCTAGCCTTATTTTACACTGTATTTACTAATCTAGTAAATTATCTAACATAGAGCATCTACATTTTTAACCAAAATTAAAAAGAAATTTCTGCCTGGTTAAATACCTGTTGTATTGGAAAAGGTTAAGTGCTTCATTTGTAGGATATGCTGAAATCCACACCAGAAACTTTCTTTAAAAATAAAACTATACCAGATGAACAACTCAAATACATGCTGGAGAGGGTTTTCAGCTGTCTTCAAGGCACTTTTTCAATGTCTTAAAGTGATAAACCCACAATATTTGGTGTTGTTTTGGGTTTTTTTTTAATATAGGTTTATACAGGAAACGCCTTCCTAGAATATCTGAACAACAGTAACACATGACAGAAACAAAAGGGGAGCTGGGATGGGCAGGATATATTATATATTTATTTCTAAGTAAATACTATAATAAACACTGGAAAGCTGTGAATGAAAAATAAAGAGACTTCCCTATATGATGGTTTTCAGATCATTTATTACCAATAAAATAAAAGACAAACTGAAAATTAGAAGGAGGGGGTGGAAACATCACGGACATCGGAACACTTGCACAGAGCTAATCAGAGCTTTGCAAATGCTGGAACATAAATAATTTAAAAGGTATCTCTACCAATTAAAATGTTTTTAAGAGGTACATAATTAAGTTTGTTTGCTTTATAAAAATCAGGTGCTTTATCCTAAAACCATATGTAAGGATCAGTTCATTTCTAACTAGGGACAATTAACAATTACAACTTGAAATAATCCTCTCTTAGATCTCCTGCAAATGAATTCATTGGAAGAGCGCTGTCGGAGCAATCCAGGGTCCGTGTTCTTCCAGTGTCCTGTGTCCAACAGTGGCCAGCACCAGATGTTTCAGGAGCAAGGTATGTGAAACTGCCAAGCGAGCAATGCTGCAATAGCTTTCCTAAAGGAGTTCTGTCCATTTGAAACCCCACACGCGTAGGGCTCGAGTTGTGCCTTCTGCTACACAGCAATTACATCCTGGAGCAATACTTAGGGGAGAATTGCAACACGTGTATTTAACACACCTCCTAAATACCGGAGTCTGAAACCAACATGTTAAGTGAGAAGACCATGCTGCTGTTAACCACTCTGGAGCAATGCCTACCTGACTTTGGCATCCTCTGTCACCCTGGGATTGTTTTGGGATCTGGTTTTCTGAGGCATGTACCAAAGATTAAGGACATTCTGTTCTGAGCTAATAAATAAGTAAAAAAGCAAAACAAAACAACAAAAGAATCCAACCACACAAACCCACCTTCTTGCTGCATTTTAGTCTCCCAAATCATTTCAGCTCCCACTCAAGTACACTTCCACACCATTCATGACACTTGCACAAACACGTTAAGTACAGCTCAAGAACAGGCTCCCGAGTTTTGAACTCACCACTGACAAAATTCACCCTTGGGGCTAGGCACTAGCAAAGTCCTCTTTAAAAGCAGGTCCAGGGCTGATATTATACCACAAGGTTACCCACACCTCAGAGGAGCTTTGGAATACATGGAAAAGCCTTGTCTAGCCAAGTCAAGTCTACCAAGTGTTTCTGAGCGGCTACACCACACTAGCCACCAACATAGCCAACACTAGCCCATGCTCTCAAAAGCAGATGCTCTCCATACTACACTGCTCCCTGTCAATATAGGAAAAAACAAACTGGGTAAAGTAAGAAACCTCTCCAACTTACTTTCGTCAAAGCACATGATAAACTAACACACATAACATCCAGATGGACTTCCATAGTTTCTGAAGTTATTCCCTTTGGTCCCCAATCTCATCACGCACTTGGGACTGGAAGGGTTATTCAGCAGCCTACAGACAGGCAGATGCTGCCCCATTCCAGTGACATCCTGAATACTAAAGTCCAGAGAGGACACGGACCTTTGCAATGAGAAGTTCAACGGCGAAGCAGAGCTACAGCTGTGGATTTTGGTACGCAATAAAAATTTGCCTCTCCTTTGCTACCTTCTAATTCTTCACAACCCCCACCATGACAGCATATTACACCGATCCCAGCATCTCCTCCATTCTAGGTCCCTGTATATACTGTGCATTTTCCAACTCCTAGTTACAACTCCCTCAGCACAGACAGTACAGTGTTGGTAAAAACAAGGCACCAGTGTTTTTCTGCCACCGCATTGTCAAGACCTGACTTTCCAACAATACAGGGATAATCTTTGGCCTGATATTCTTCATCACAACTCCAACTACATGCACAGAAATGCCAGCATGTTACACAGACTACAGCGTTGTAGAAGTTGTGTAAGAAAAGAAGATACACCATTCCTCTACAGAACTTGAATTACCTGATCCTTTCTCTGCTGCCTGGAGCTGCAAAAGCAATTTATCTCCTGCTCTACTCAGAATTCCTTTCCCACTCACACCTTTAAACCAGACATGAACTGCCATAGGATAACATTTTAAACTGCAGAATTCTAGATTTTTCTGTGCTAGATTTTCCCAGCAATTTCCAGGAGGTGGTTCTTCTAGACAAAACAGTCTCATGATCTGAACTGACACGAGTGACAGCTCTGGCTATCTGTAACCAAATGACCTGGTAGAATCCCTACAAGAAAGCAAAGGGCCGTTATTTTTGCACATCACCACAAAACATCAAACAGATTTCCACCTGCCAGGCACTATTCCACATTCTTTCTTACCTGTCATTTTTTTCTCTGGGAAAATACTTCCCACTATTTTCATCTGATTACTGCACTGTGGGGAAGGGAAGGGAACTCATGACTTTAAAGGTGAAGAAACAAGTTCCTTAGTTATGATCCCACAGAAAACTGCATTCAGGCCATTCTGATGCTTAAAGCAGGAATTAAGAGCTGAGAAAGAGGGTCTGTACCCACTTTAGCTAGTGGAGTTAGCACAGTACTTTAGATGGGACTGAGATGGATCAGATCAAGAGAGATGGCTGTCAGTCAGCAACCATCCAGGACGCAGTCGTTCCCAAGGTATTCCGCTGTTTCCAGCTCTATGCTGGAGAGGAACCGCCGTGTGGTCTTACGACAGTTGTAATCCAGCGTGGTGGTGTACACAGTCTTGGCATGCTTCGGGTAGATGATGGTGGTGCTGGTGAAACGCTGGGGCTTGTTGCGGGGCTCGAAGTGGACCTCGACTTTGTAATTGCGCCATGTGCAGTTTGGGACACAGATGACTGTCTGACTGCAAGAGGAAACGCTTAAGCCCACTGGCATATAGATGTCATCGATGAAGTGCTTCTCCGAGTCATATTTAACTGAGGATGTGTACCTGAAATACAAGAGAAGTGTGTGAGCTCTGCTCCAGAGCAGCAGGCTGCTTTGTCTGGAAAGCTGAGCCATCAGGTCAGGTGGGTCCTCAGCCTTGCACCTACCACCTCAACACAGGAACAGCCACATCACATTGTTCTGCTGGTGTCATACTCATTTATGGGAAGAAGAAAAAGCCTTTCGTTAGCAGCACGCCCAACACTGTCTCTGTTTTGTCCAGCTTCCAGCACTACCAAACATCATCTCAATCCTTGTGTCCACTGTTTTAAGCCTCAGCTCTATGAACCTAACAACCTCCTTCAAACTCCAGTGACTAAACCCAGAGGCCTACATCTACATTTAGGCTTTGCACATAAGCATCCTCATTCATCAGAGTGCCAAGTCCATGGCAGCACACATTATTTTTCCAGTTACCCTCTGGCAAGAGCCACACAGGAGTTCTCTGGGATCATTCACAGCATGGGGCATTCTATCTGAAGGCAAATTTCTGGAGATTCAACAGGCAGCAAAATGCTACAATTTACACACCAAACTCCACTAGCAATAAAATCCTCCATGCTGGATTGCAACGAAAGTTTTCATGACCTTCACACTGCAACAACTCTGTGTTAGCTTTTCCATAGTGCTGACTGCCTTCAGTTCCAGCCCCAGCACAGGCTCCTTACCCACACCAGAGCATCTACCCTTTCTACCCCTGCATTAGGCTTCTATTTGACTGTACCTGTCTACCTCTGGTTGCACAGTGATAAACTGGAAGCCTTCATTTCTCCTTACAGCAAATCACCACATTCAAAGGAATAATTCACAGGCTCTGATGCAGCACATTAAAAAAACTAGTAATTATGTACTCTCTGAATACTAACTTACATTTTAGTTCATAAACCAGCCACAGCTGATAAGGTAGAAAGTGCTTATTATAAAACTATGAGGTTACGAGAGCAAAATTCCTTTCCCCTAATAAAACACTCCTAGAAAGGAGGCTGCTTTGAAGATCTTCCATCACGATTACCTTCTGGTTAATTGGTTGAAAGGACAACATTTTGGAGCAGTACACTGAAGGTAAAGCAGGAGAGTAAAATACAGGAAAGTCTTCCTGAGTAAAAAAAACCCATATGGGATTAAAAGGTGCTGAACACTCCTTCAGCCTGTACAAATGTCCAGGTCCAGGAATGTACAGCTGCATGGAACAATAGCTCTGCAAATAAATTAACTTGACTCACAGGCACTGATAAGGCCTAACTGCTACTTTACACGCTAACTCCTTCAAAACTAGATGGCTGTAACACTGCATTTACCTTATTTCCTTTGGCGGTAAAGGGTCAAACTCAACTCCTTCGCCAAATGATAAAGGACACAATCTTGGAGGGCAGCTGGAGAGAACAGGGCTGGGGGAGAACACAGAATTCTGAAAAGAAATGCAAAAATAATCCCTTTTATGTTACAATTTGGTATATTCTCAATAAAATGCATTTATTTAGCCGTTGGTACAGAGTTGTCAAGGTTCACGTTTACATGCAAGAGGATCTGCTAGTACAAGACATGCCTATAGGTGCAACCTGCAGGTCTCACTTAACACTGGTCTATAGCATCAATGATGCGGCAAGGTGTATTTTTTTGAAGTCCTAACTCCACAAACTTACTTCACAGAAGCCACTTTGGGGAATGAGAGAGGAAAATAGCCCCTCAGTGCAGTGTAGCTTGCTGCAGCATGAACTATAGCCCACTCGCTGGATGAGCTCACCTTCAATTTATAGCTAACATTATACGAGCGTACAAGTGCGCCCTCCTTGCTGGAGTCATCAGATACACCCATGGGCAGATCACAGCAGGAAATTATTGCAGGGCATCTTGCTAGAAGCAACTCCTTGTTTCATAGCTACTCAGTGGCTACTATTTAAAGGCATTAAATCCAACCTAGTTCACATGCAACCTGTTGGGAAGGATTAACTCATTCCCACTGAGCGGCAATGCACAGAGCATCCCTGTGCTCCTTTCCTGGACAGGCAGCACCTCAAGCCGACACCAGCCCAGCACCATCCCACAGCCAGAAAGAAACGAAAGCGGCCCTGGAGGGGCCTTTCTGAAGCCACTTCTGTTTTACTACCCAGGGCAAGGGGGCTATGGGAATCCCTCTGCTCAACACATGGCTCTCCTATGGCCTTTTCCAGTTCCATGCCAGCACCCCTGTAGAAAAGTGATGTTTCCTCTGACCTGCAATTTCCAAAGTATTTGTACCAACCACTCAGCATCAACATCCAAAAATGGTTTTGTGAGAAACTAGCATGTCTCTACCTGATACTAATAACTGAAGCCAAAAGTTAGCATAGAAACTTCCTACTCAGGGCCACTCTCTGGAATAATGAGAGTTCCTTTTCCCCTGGGATCTTTCAAAGATGTGCTGCGATGCAGCCCCAATGCCTACCGGGGTCAGGAGAGTTGGGGCTTCCCTCAGATCAGCAAGAACCGACCTCAAAGCCG